GATTGGGGGATCACTTTTCCCGCCAAAAAATATTTTGTATTTTGTGGACCTAATTTTGTTATATTTCCTTATATATTCATGATATCTTTAATTAAAAGAAGGGTAATTTAGTCATTTTGTACATAAAAGGGGTATTTTTAAAAATGGACATCCAAATGGGGCATTTTTGAAAAGGGGTATTGAAAAAGGGGCATTTTTGTGAGTCTCCCATTATTATTTATCCTCAAGGTCCTCTATTATTTTTTTTATTTTTTTATTTTTTTATTTTTTTTTAGGTCCTCTATTATTAGTACTGTATCTTTGAAATTTTGTTGTTCTTAATTCCTCAAATGCAGTTTCTAATCATCCGTAAATGCAGTTTCTAATCATCCGTAAATGCAGTTTCTAATCATCCGTTTAACTTTAGATCTTTAATCTCCAGCTATAGCTATGTCATATTGTTTTCAATATTTCTCTTCGTTTCCAATATTGATTATTATCAACTTCATGGACATGGTACAATCTCATATTTCTCTAATCGCACTTTATACATGTCACTTACACAATTTTTTGGTATAATTTCTTTTTTTTTTTTTTTTAAATTTAAAAAGATTCTTCTTGAGCATAATTTTTTCTTTTATATTTCGGTATAGAATTGTATTTTGACTTTAAAATGTTAAAATATATGTCACGGTTTACTTAACTTTGTGTTTTTGTTTTTGTTTTGTATTTTCTAAATCATGTATCCATTAAAAAAAGAATTGGGTAAACTAATCCATCGATTATTCACTTTATTTTATTGCCAAAATTTTAATTTTTATTTATTTAGATACTCAAAGATAATAACATATTAAAATTTATGTTTTTTTAAAAAAATATTCCAAAAAAACCTTATATATGATCTCAAATGTTTTTGTTTGAGATAGAAGAAGAATCCCATAAGTTGATATAAACTTATTGTAAATGTAACTTCTCTTACTCGTTGCAGCACAAACTCTGGTGTAATGTCAAACAAATGTCGTGAGATAGTCTCTCAAACGCCTTTGGGCACGAGTGCGACATTCTCATAGTAAAAATATGGTGAAAATATCTTGGGCTAAATCTGGAATGTGATGAGAAAATATCTTGGGCTAAATCTGGAATGTGATGAATACTAACTCGAAAATAAGAATGCATTTGCTATTTGTTCTATATTTTGTTCTCATGTGAGTTATAAAAAAAAATGTCACAAAAATTTCAAACTTTTAATTCTTAATTAAAACGAGAGACATTGTAATTACCATGCTCATGTATGGCTTTAATAACCTTTTCCTCATCAAATCCTATTGCAAAGAAATGAGAAATAGCTTTATCAAATTTTGAAAACTAGATGGTGTACCCGCGCGTTGCGCGGGATTTAAATTTAAACTTTATTCTTTGAGTATAAATATAATCAATTGAATTTTAAAAGATTTTACTTTAATTCATGTGCATTATCTTTCCAAAGTAGTAAAAAGTTTCTCACATTTTTTACTACAATTTTTCTCGTTTTCTTTTATGATTCACTCGTCGTCTTCCGACATCTATTTTCTTTTCTCCTTAGATCGTTTCTATTTTCTCCTTCATATCATTCAATACTCAAATTTTTAATAAGTTTCATGATCTTTTTATTAAAGTGAACATCAGAAAAGAAATCCGAGGAGATGTTTGTTATAAGGTGTTTTTTTACCATGTTCTGTGCATCTAAGATTGTTTTATAGAAAACAAATCTCATATATGGACTCATTCCTATTAA